TTTGAGAACCTTTCGAACTGTGGGGCTCCTCTTTTGGCAGTGTATCAGACAATATTCCACTGCTATTCATAAGATTTTCATTGGCTAGTTTTTCTAAAGTGGTTTGCTTCTTCTTTCCCCATTTGTTTCCACAAATGGAGAGAGACACGAAAGGACAGCATTTTGACAATGGGGAAGAGGTGAAACAAAAAATGAGGGAGGTGTTGTCAGCCATCCAAATAGATGAGTTTGAAAAGAATGGAATTGCATATTTGACAAAGGTTTTAAGTGTTAAGGAGAGTATTTTGAAGGTGATAAGGTTGTTTTGTAAAATTTAAATATATAGCTTTGGAAAAAAAATTAAATTTTTGGGGTGGGTACCCCCCCTCTTGGGCATGTAAGCCCCTCTAATTACAGGTAACCACTTAGGTAACAAAGTGGGCTGTACCCTAACCCTAGAGGTCCCTGAGTTCATTGGAAAAGTAACCTAACACCAGTGCTGGGGGAAGGTTAGGGGTTTGTTCCCTGAGCAGGGAGTGCAATTATAACAAGTCTGCTCCTATAGATACAGCTGCCGGCCAGATGGCAATCAGCCACGTGCTTGTAAGAAGTAACCTTAAGCTAGCATTATTATGGGAGGATACTGTGGGGATTAATCTTGGTTATGAGAATGTGATTGGGACTCATCTCTAACCCACTAGTGCAAAGCCTCCCTCCACCCAGAATCCTGGCCTTCCAGACTTCTTAAAATATGAGAATAAAGAATTTGTATGCATACAATTTCTTCCTGTTCCTGTTTCCCACATTATAGTCTCAAGCTCAACAGGGGCAGTTTTGCCTTGTCTTAGAGGGTTGCTACAGTTATGAGTTGGCATTGACAGTTTGTAAATGCCCTGTGTGTGGTTTAGCTGATACCCCCCCCCACCCTTCCCCAGTATTGTAAGCAGTGCATTCTGACATAATTTTCGTAATTTAGGTGACTACTACAGAATATTGCTTATTTGGACAGCTGTCTGTTCAAAACGCCAAACCGGTGACGTCATGTTAAAAACCTTATTTCTCTTTTAGAAGGCAAGGGCAGTGTGAGTGTTGCTACATAACAATTGGCAAAGATGAAAACTGGTGCCCTATTCAAAGACGGTGGCTGACCATACCACTTTAAATGTGTATCACGTTACAATTCTGACAGTAATCCAATCTCCTGCATCAGACTCCTGAAAGGGCCTACCAATCCTCTTCCTAGCCTCCCCTTCCAGGGCTTCAGCCCATTATTTTCCCCTTTCTGGTTAATGTTCCAGGATTAGTACCCCCTCCCCCACACCTTATTTATTTTCAAAATTGGTCTGTTCTGATTTCACTGTACTGGCCATGACAGAAATGGTTCAAACTGGTTTGAAGTCCTATGGGAAATCAAGACACCATGTGTTCATGAAGTTGCTGACTTTATCATTGTATTAGTCGTTTTCCATATCATGCCCTACTTCCTGAATACATTAAGCTGCTATGTTACAGGGAAAGTGGTACTTAAGCTACTTTGTTTATTTAAGATTCACCCATTCCCAAGCAGACATTTTTGTAATGTTTAATAATTTTCTTAACAATTGTGTATCATTTTTTAGTCTTAGCAAATCTAGCACTTACGTGCAACCTACAAAGCCCTAATATTTGTGTATCAAATGAAGATCTGTTTGCACAAGCATAGTTTCTTAAATTTAAAAATTCTTGTTTTAAAATTTACCCTTAATATTTTATATGTAAATTCTGCTTACAGTTTGATAGTGCCGTTATTCAGCACATATTTATAAATAAGGTATTGTGATCTCTAAACCTCATTAGTAATTAGCTTATAACACCAAACTCAATGTATGAAACCTCATAGAACAAAATGTTCTTTTTCCCTTCACTATCATCTGGCTTTATCGTTCTAGTGTCCTATTACCCGATCGATGACAAAATCCAATGAAGCTCATTTCAACATTTGTAAGTTAGTATTAAAAATAACATAAAATTACTTTTTGAAAAACAGTTTATTGGGGGCTCGTACAACTCATCACAATCCACTGTACATTTGTTGCCATCATCATTCTCAAAACATTTGCTTTCTACTTGAGACCTTGGTATCAGCTCCTCCTTTGTTTACCTTCCCTCCTCCCTTCCTCATGAACCCTTGATAATTTATAAATTATTATTTTTTCATGTATTCCACTGTCCGATGTCTCCCTTCACCCACTTTTCTGTTGTCCATCCCCCAGGGATGGGGTTATATGTAGATCATTGTGATCAGTTCCCTTTTTCTCCCCTTACCTTCCCCATCCCCTCCTGGTATCGCTACTCTCATTATTGGTCCTGAGGGGTTTATCTGTCTTATCTGTACCAGTGTACATCCTCGGGTGTAGCCGGATTTGTAAGTTAGAACTGGGTCATGATAATGAGGGGAAGAAAGCATTAAAGAACTAGAGGAAAGTTGTATGTTTCATTGGTGCTATGCTGCACCCTTACTGGCTCATCTCCTTCCCGCGACCCTTTTGTAAGGGGATGTCCAGTTGCCTACAGGTGGGTTTTGGATCTCCACTCTCCACTCCCCCTCATTCACAATGATTTTTTTTGTTCTGGATCTTTGGTGCCTGATACCTGATTCTGTCAACACCTCATGATCACACAGGCTGGTGTGCTTCATCCATGTGGGCTTTGTTGCTTCTCAGCTAGATGGCTGTTTATCTTCAAGCCTCTTAAGACCCCAGACGCTATGTCTTTTGATAGCCAGGCACCATCAGTTTTCTTCACCACATTTGCTCACACATCTGCTTTGTCTTCAGTGATCATGTTCAGAAGGTGAGCATCATAGAATGCCAGCTTAATACAACAAAGTGTTCTTGCATTGAGGGAGTACTTGAATGGAGGCCCAATGTCCGTCTGCTACCTTTATACTAAACCTATAAATATATGCACATAGATCTATTTCCCCATCATCATAGATCAATATATTACGTATATATTTAGACCTCTATAAATGTCCATTGCCTCCTAGTTCTTTCCTCTGTTTCCTTTTACTTTCTTCTTGTCCCATGATCATGTTTTGCCTAATTCCTCTGGGTTACATTGCCCATGATAAAGCTCTACCAGGCCTCCCATACCCTCCTTGCCATCGATTTTGAATCACTTGTTACCTTGTCCCTGGGTTTGTTTACTCCCGCTTCCTTTCCTGCCTGCTCTCCCTCTTCCAAGCACCCCCCCCCCAACCGTTGGTCCCATTGTTTTCTCCTCAATTATTTATCACTAGATAGACCTGCAGAGATAATAATATGCACAAAAACAAGACAGAGCAAAACAAAGCAGCAAAAGAAAAAACAGCAACAAAAACCCAACAACACCAACAACAAAAAAGCCTATAAGTAGTTCAAGGTCTGTTTGTTGGCCTTTAGGAGTGTTTTCCTGTCTAGTCTTGGTGGGGTGCCACGTCCTGACCCCAAAGTCTATTTTTGGTATTCCCTGGGGACTTAGTTGAGTTGCTCTGTTCCCCATGCTGTTCTGTTCCATCCCTCAGTGTGTGGGGGTCAGACCGGGCGCAATTCCTGCACTGTCTCCAGTGTTGTCTCCCATAGCGTTACAGGTCAGTGAGGGACATCTTGTCTCATAGTGGGGCTGGCCCTATGGTCCTCCCAGTGCTTTGGCTGCTCTGAGCAGGAATATTGTTCTCAGGGTTTGGTGGGCCAGGATGTGTTCCACTCTCTCTTTCTCTCCCTTCATTTGCTCCTGCATGCTCTGATCAGACATGTCCCTCTCCCTGAGCTGTAGCTTCAGTGCTGTCCTCTGAAATGATTCTTTTGCAGGGAAGGGGTCTGTCCATGTAGTCGGGATTGGTGCCAGCCCCTCAGACCTCTCTACTGGTTCCCTGTTGCATACACGTCTTGGAGCACTGAGTTGAAGTCTGGTCCCTCTTTCCCTGTGGAAATATAAACAATACCCTCCCTTTGGGTGGGTTAGTGCCCTGTCTTCTTTTATTTAGCTAAAAGTATTAAGCTATAGTTTAAAGATAGTCTTGCTTCAAAACTAAAATGATTGTAAAAATAGGTTATAAAATAAATGTGTACAATTCCTTGGATATTAATATACTTTGGATTCTAATGAAAGACTAAATTTAACATGTCACAGACTGTAATTTATTGTACATGATTCATTTGAAGTTTGCACTAGAAAAGCCCAAAAGTGCATGGATGTAGCAATGCAAAGTGCTGTAAAAGTTTCTGAATGTCTATTCTCAATTTCTATACCTTTTTTGTTGGTTTGGATTAGAAGCAACTGTTGACTGCACCGAGTCTATAGAACATACTTTGAAGAACATTGATTTAGGTAGTTTACAGTTTTGTTTTTTTTTTAGTTTACAGTTTTTACAAGAACCAAAAATACTTCTCTTAAGCAACATGGTATTTTGCATATGTCGTGCCTCATGTGTGAGTTTCTCCGTAGAATAAATTTCTATGAAAGTGTATGTATTGCTTGATGAAAGTGTGTATGTGTTTAGAATTGAGAGATCATTTCCAATATTTTCCTTCAAAAGATCTGTTGATTCCATGGCTAAAATTTGAGTATGGCATAGTGCATAGTGTTGGGCTATTGACAAGGTCAACAGTTTGAAACCACCAGCCACTCACAGGAGAAAGATGAGGCTTTTTACTACAAAGCCTCAACACAGGGCCGTTCTACCTGTCTCGCAGGCTCAATATGAGTTGTAATCAGCTTGATGGCAGTGAGTTTTGTTTTGTTTGTTTTTTCCCTGGTTTTCTCTCTATATAAAAAATTCTAACATTTTGTCTGGGAAATGTTGCATATTGTCCCATATTTTCCAATAACATAGGTTATTGTCTTTCTTTTTAAAAAAATTAGGTTAGGGTGTTATATTGTTTTTAATTTTATTACTGTTTTAAATTAGATAAACTTTAAAGTGGCTTTAGCTTTAGGAGAGATAAAAAGAATGTTACTTTTAGTGGCAGCCACTCTTGATATTTTTCATTTTGCAGCAGGAGCCAAAGGAAGAGAATGAACCACAGAAAATGAAGACAACGCAGCCAAATAGAGCAACGTGTTTGGCTAAAAGAAAAATTGCACGTATGTTTTCATTTTTATGTTGAGAATGGTTTGGCAGTTACACAGGTATATATAGATTTGAAATTAGTACTTTCATTAGGGAGAAGAGAAATCTCTGAATCATGATATATATGTTTACTGTTTATTCTGGATTCCATTATAAACAAATCCTAAGAATTCCTACAGCTTATACAATTGACTAATTAGTGGCAGAGTGTTAAATGAAAGAATGAAACCTTAGGCACATTTGTGTTTGAAACATGCTTTGGAACCCTTACTATGTGAATCTTGGGTAAGTCACTTTTTAATCTACTCATCAATAAAATACAGATAATAACACTTGTTTCATAAGTTACTTAGTAGAGGCTCAGATAAGTAAATGAAGTTAATGACCGTACTTTTGCTATTACAGTTCTTTGTTGGTTTTGCTTTCTGTGTTAGTTGTGATATCATTTAATAATTTATTTTGGCATTTTTAATGAGATATTAAATGTTCAAGTGTTTCAGTGAACTTTTTACTATACTAACCCCTTGGAATTATCATAACAATGGTCTGAAGATAAACAAGCATTTCAATGCTAGTTTGAATTGAATTGATTTAGGTATTATTCTTATATTATGCTTATACTAAATGAACTAATATGCCTTTGTTGTAAAATCATTGCCTTATGTTTGACTGTTTGGTTTTATCTGTTGAATATATTCAAGTTACTTTCAGCCTTGGGGATTTTAGGTAATAGTTACTATTTGAATTTAGTAATGCTTAAGAATCAAGTAAAATTTTTGCCACCATTGGTATACTATTGGTAGTTGTCTACTTGGTTACTTTGCATCTTTATGTCCCAACTATATTTTGCATTTCTATTTATCCGGTCATATTTTTCTTTTCCTTTTTTTTGCACTTTTTGAAATTAGTTGAATATTTTTGTGATTACATTTTATTTCTACTACTGATTTATTATTATTAATGTTTTATTTTTATTTCATTATGCTAAGATATGTATAATTTCAAGGGTTTTTAAGTGTCAGTCAGTATATGCTTTATGTTGTGTAATCATCACTATTATTTGTTTTTAGAACAATTTCTTCTCCAAAAACGTACCCTCTATATTCATTGAGCACTAACTCCCACTCTCTTTCACACCTTGGTCCTGGTAAACATTGTTCTACTTTCTTTCTCTATGAATTTGCTACTTCTATGTACCTCTTAACAAATTATGAAAAACATTACAAAGATTGGGAATTTCAGAGCACTTCATTATGCTCATGTCGAACTAGTATATGGACTATGGACTGAGACATTCATTCAAACAGAACAAGGGAATACTGTGTGATTTAATATCAGGAAAGTTGTGTGCATCAGGGTTTTATCCTTTCATCATACTTACTAAATCTGTATGCTGAGCAAATAATCTGAGAAGCTGGACTATATGAAAAAGAAAGCAGATCAAGATGGAAGGGAGGTTTATTAACAATCTGTATTATACAGATAACACAACCTTATTTATTGACAGTGAGGATTTAAAGCTTTTGCTGATGCTGATCAAGGATTGCATACTTCAGTATGACTTGCAGCTTAATGTAAAGAAAACAAAATCCTCACAACTGGACCAGTAGACAGCATCATGATAAATCGAAAAAAGATTGACGTTGTCAAGGATTTCTTTTGACTTGGATCCACAATCAAGTGCTCACGCAAGTAGTCAGAAATCAAATGACATGCTGCACTGGGCAAATCAGCTATACAAGACCTCTTTAAATTGTTGAAGAGCAAGGATGTTAGTTTGAGGACTAAAGTATACCTGACCCAAGCCATAGTATTTTTAATTAGCTCATATGCATGTGAAAAGTTGAGAGTGAATAAAGAAGACCTCCAAAGGCTTGAAGGTAATCAAGCAGCCATCAAGCTCAGAAGCAACAAAGCCCACATGGAAGAAGCACACCAGCCTATGCAATCACGAGGTGTTGAAGGGATCAGGTATAAGGCATCATCAGAACAAAAAATCTTACCATAGTGAATGATGGGGGGAGTGCGGAGTGGAGACCCAAAGCCCATTAGTAGGCCACTGGAGATTCCTTTGCAGAGGGGTCTCGGGGAGGAGATGAGCCAGTCAGGGTGCCATGTAGCAACGATGAAAAATACAACTTTCCTCTAGTTCCTAAACGTTTCCTCCCCGCTCCCAGTATCATGACACGAATTCTACCTTGCAAGTCTGGCTAGACCAGAGGATGTACACTGGTACGAACTGGAAATCCAGGGCGGATGATCCCTTCAGGACCAGTGGTGTGAGTGGCGAGGCAGGGAGGGTAGAGGGAGAGTTGGTAGGAAAGAGGGAACCAATTACAAGGAACTATATGTGACCTCCTCCCTGGGGGACGGACAACCGAAAAATGGGTGAAGGGAGACGTCGGACAGGGCAAGATATGACAAAATAACAATTTATAAATTATCAAGGGCTCATGAGGGAGGGGGGAGCGGGGAGGGAGGGGAAAAATGGGGACCTAATGCCGAGGGCTTAAGTGGAGAGGAAATGTTTTGAGAATGATGAGGGCAATGAATGTACAAATGCGCTTTACACAATTGATGTGTGTATGGATTGTGATAAGAACAAAGGAGCTCTAGTGACAGTGATTATGCTTTGGCTGTGATCTGCAAGGGTGGCAGTTCAAAACAGCTAGCTGCTCTTTGGGAGAAAGATAGAGCTTTCTACTCATAAAGAGTTACTGTCTTGGAAACTCATGGGGCAGTTCTACCCCTTTTCTTATAGGGTTGCTGTGAGTTGGCATTGACCCAATCAAAGGCAGTGAATTTGGTTTTTTTTGGATTTTCCAGAAGAACAAACACATCTGTCTTGGAAGAAATACAGCCAGGATGCTCCTTGGAAGCAAGGATGGCGAGACTTTGTCTTAGTATGTTGAATATGTTAACATAGGGGACCGGTTCCTGGAGACGGACATTATGTTTGCTAAAGTAGAAGTTCAGCAACAAAGATTGTCAAGGAGAGGGATTAACACAGTGGCTGCAAACAACAATAATTGTGAAGGTGATGCAGGACTGGGCAATGGTTTGTTCAGTTGGGCATAGGCTTGCTAGGAGCCATAACTGACTCTACAACACCTAGCAACATATATCTCGTATAAGTGGACTCATACCATATTTGTCCTTTTGTATCTGGTGTAGTTTACGTAGTATGTTTTCAATTATAACATTCTTTGTGTTATAATTTTTATCAGAATTTCATCCCTTTTTATGAAATGGCTGAATAATATTCCATTGTGTGGGTGTACACATATGTATATGTTTATATACCACATTTTGATTATTAAGTCATCTGTTGACAGAATTGGATTATTTTCACTTTTTAGCTTGTGAATGTTTCTGGGAACATTGACATACAAGTAGTTATGAGTTTCTGCTTTCAAGACTCCTGGGTATATATGTAGAACTTTAATTTCTAGGTTACAGCCTAGTTTTATGTTTATTTTTGAGGAACATCAAACTTTTTTTATAGCAACTGTACTATTTTACATTTCTTCCACCGATACATATGTGTTAAAAATGTTTCCACATCTTTGTCACTATGTAATTTTCTGATACTAGCCATTAGTCATCCTAGTATGCGTGAAAAATGATGAGACTTAGTCTTGTTTACTTTGGACACCTCATCAGTTAAGACCAATCAATCACTCCGAAAGGACATCATGTTTGGTAAAGTATAGAATACCAATTTAAAGAAGAAGGAAGTCTCCATGTGATGGATTAAATAAGACTAAAATAGTAGCCTCAAACATATCAATGATTATGAGGATGGTGGAAAATTGTCTAGTGTTTTGTTCCATTATACACAAAGTCTCCATGAGTTGGACTCACTTTGACTGGTAACTGAAAACAACTATGTGTGAAGTATTCTCTCACTGTAGTTTAGATTCCAGAATGACTAGGTCAGAATCAACACAACTACTAAAAGTGTTGAGCACATTTTCATTTGCTTAGCAGCCATTTACATATCTCTGACAAAATGTCTATTCAAGTAATTTGAAATTGGGTATACACACACACACACACACACGGTGAGTAAAACGTATAGCTACAGAGCCATAGAAACTTTATTAAACAAAAAGATCCAAATATGAAGCTATTGTTTCTCGACATATCCTCCTCCTATGTCAGCATACAGGAGTGGCTGTGAGGACACACAGGACCGTGCGGTATTTCATTCTGCTGTGCACAGGGCCTCTGTGGGTCTGATCGACTCAATGGCACCCAACAACAACAACAACTTGTCAGCATATTTCTGAAGGCAGTTTCTGTCTCTCTAAGCCTTCCTCCAAAGAATTCTGTGTTTTCAGGTTATTCATGATAAAAATGGCAGTTTTGTGATCCTCAAGGGGCTCAAATTGTGTCCCTTTTAAATGTTCTTCTAAGGGGGGAGTAAAAAAGCCTGAAGGGACAAGATAAGGGCAAATTGGGCAAGGTAGCTCATGGAAATTCTTGTAGATCTGCTGCTTCTACTTTTGAAGAATGAGCAAATACAGTGTAGTGATAGAAAAAAATTACTCAGCACAACTTCCTTGGCCTTTTTCTCACCAGTGCAGTTTTTAATCCTTAAAATATCTTCCTAATAAGCCCCCATGGTTGTGTCCTTTAAGAAATTGTCAAAGATTACCTTTCTGAGATCCTAAAAAACAGTTACCATGACTTTCTGAGTTGACCTCTTTGCCTGCAATTGAATTGGCACAGCAGATCCCTCAGAAGTCACGTTTTTGATAGGACCTTTTAATGAAGGTACTCTATCAAGACTAAGGCAAATGTATAACTGAGACAACTTGTCTGCAGCCACTTACTGGTTGCAGAGACATGGTTAAGTACATTCTGTTTGGATACACCATGCATATATGAACTAGATCTGTAGTAGCAATACTTTTTTATATATCCTAGTATATTTTGTTATTGACTTGTAGGAATTCCTTTTATGTTCTGGATATTAAACTCTTAACACTACGTGATTTAAAATATTTTC